TTTTTTTTTTTTTTTTTAAATATATATGTAATACAGGTAGACTTGCAGCAGCTATAGTAAGCATTCCTGAAACTGTAATGCTAGCACTGTTATCACCACAGTGCGTTAGAAAGAGAACCCCCTTCAGTGGAGGTTATTGAACCCAGAATTGCAAAATTTGATGGTGGCAGAATTGTCTTTGGTGTTTGAATGGCAAACCTCAACACAGTGATTACATTTCCAAGCAGCAGGGCAGTCCACTTACAGATAACAAGTTTATGTTTTATATTTTTATACTGAGAGAAATTAGAAATTATCTTGCTTCACTCTAATGCTCAAGTGGTGGTAAGATTCACCAAAGACTCAACATTTGCAATTGCGAAAAAAAAAATGATTCAAGAAATCTGAAAGGAAGCCAAAAGATTGTTTCATCTGTGATGTGATAAACCACAAAATTTAAGCACAGTCTCAGAACAGCCATAAGAATAGAACAGCATCCTCTCAGTTATTGGAAGAGCTGTATTAATCCTTCCATCCCTACCTCCCAAATTGTTTATCTGAAAGCTTCATCCAAAAGCCAAGCTCAACTTTCCACGAGAGATCTACCTACACTCAGGCACCAACTCTTCTGATTCCATGGCGGGGGTATTTATTTATAGATAGATACAGAAGTCACCAGCAAAATACAGATCAGTTTCCAGGATGCTAATCTCCCATTATACGATAAAAGTAACTCCTACCAAGGCTCAATCAATTCTTAGCATTTGATAAGAGATTGAACCAACTGACAGCCTAACATCCTGAACATCCTGTTCAAAGATGGACAAATACTGTATGGATCTAACTGTCTGTGTACAAATGCTTACTCATACTAGAAAAGTTAATCCATAGAGACTGCACAGAACAATATTTAATGTGTTATTCTGTAAGAGAATCTGAGCCATTCCAAAACTGTTGGTATATAAGGAATAATTGTACATGCTCCCTACTGAACCATGTTCAGAAAAATCTGTTGCTGTCAAGTTTCTTTGAGGCTACATCCCAGCTCACATAACAGCAATTCGATACAAATTGAAATCTTCATATTTAGAATTTAGCACAAAAGGAGGATTAGGATTTAGCTATTCCCTTTCCCTCTCTTCATTCAGTTGGACTTTTAACCTGTGAAGTCAAGGAGCATCTCCCTCCGTGACAACAACCAAAGGGCTCTGACCCCATCCAGCAAAGCCTGCAGTACAGGCTATCAAAGTGCTAAAAGATATCAATTTTATCCAAAATTGCTATGCATCCACCACCTTATGGCAAGAAATGGTACACTTAAGAACAAAGCCAGAATTCTGCTGCTCTTCCCTTTCTTTTCTTTTTTCTTTGTCTTTTTTCTTTTTTTTTCTTTTCCTGGCAGCACTTAGCAGCACTCTCTACCAAAAGCCGATGAGAATTTCCACACCGTGTGTTATTGATGCCCTAACTCTCAGTGCCCATCCTCCCCATTGAAAACATAGCAACAATGACAACATTGACTATTGCACTGAGCGGACTTTAAACTCTTATGCCAAAGTCAAAATGTGACCTTGCTGAGGGAAACATCAATCAAGAAATGCAGCATTATTTTTAAAAGATAATCTTATCAACTTCTAAGAGGACAATAGGGGCAAGAGTGGGGGAGAGCCAATCTAGAGAGAGGTTTTTTTAAAAAAGGGGGGACGGGGTCACTCTACAGGGTGATTTTAAAGGTGAGCCAGCATGTTCAAGGTGTCCTGATATGCCCTTCAGGAAGCTTTCCCTGCATAAAATTATAAAAGTGCATGTGACAGGTTTGCAAAGTACAAGGTACTGGAAGACCGTCAAACTGTGGAATACATGTGCCCTACACATCCTCCGCCAGCATTCTTAAAGAAAATATAGAGAAGTTAAGGACTGCTTGTATCCATTCTTCATATCTCCAAATTAAAAAAAAAAAAAAAAAAACATAAATACTGGAACACCATAATTAATTTCTCTGGATATCTACTTTAGACGTGCAAGCCAAAGAGCATCAGGACAGTTGTGTTACTGGGGACTTCCACTATCGGGACTTCCACTCTTCCCAAGTGGCTAGAAATTTCACCTGGTTYAGGCAGAACTAAGACTGAGATGACTCTGATTCATATATTGAGTTGGCTTGGCAAATGAGGTAMGGCCCTTAGAATACTTTGCTTTTGACCATTCTCTGTCTACTATAAATTGGTCTGAACTCTGAGCTCACAAGAATTGCAGTTTGGTTGTGTTGGAGGAAATGTGTTTCACTGAAAGACAGCAATTATAAACTTACTTTCTGAATGAAAGCCAGACTAAATCTCATTAGTGTGGAAGTGAGAAAGTTTTATCTTGTGTTCCTCTGCACAGCCCTCCCTCTCTGAAGCTCTTTTGGCCRAGATGCAAAGGACCTAACAAAAAAACCAAAAAGGTCCAACTAATTTCAATGGCTCTGCAAACTCCCTGTTCAGACCAGAAGTTTCAGAAAACCAGTTATTTTAAAAATTACTTTTACTTCAGGTGAAAACATAGATTTTTATTGAAATTCCTCTAACCATTAAGTGGCACAATGTTATTTATAGCCAGTAACTTAGTCAACACKTTTTAAAGAAGAAGCAAATTTGCACTAGAACTTCTTTCACTCTGCAGAGCAGTATCATCACAGCCATCGGAGAAAACATTCTGTTGTCAAAATTATGTGATTGTTCCCCATGGTAAGAAACTGTTGTATCATGTTCCCTCTCAGAGAAGGGAAGATCACACGAAAATGAAATGCAATTCTCATTTTTTTTGTGGGATGGTGTCAAGATTTTCTGTTTGTCCTTTTTTTTTTTTTTTTTTTTTAAGAGATTTTCAGGATTTGATTCTCAAAGACAATCCCCATAGAAAACTCAAGGCAAATTGATGACGGCGACAATGACAATGACGACAAAACCCTTTCCTTGTCCCTGGAGACATGAAAAGAAGGAAAAAAAATCCTAATAACCAAAACCACGAAGGCAGCAAAAGCTGGAAACAATTACCAATCTGTATGAAGCAAAACATCAGCTGAAGTAGTAGATTAAAGCAAATCCTTCTTTTAGCTCCTTGAATAGTGTAAATATTACATTAAAAAACAAACGTCAGCTTGTGGATTTTATAAGGAGCCATATCAATCTTCACTCTAGTAAGAACTATCTAACTGCTGTGAAAACAGGATTCTAATATCATACAAGTCTGCAATATAGCCAAGGTATTATATAGGCTTTGACACTAATTTGGACATGCTCCATCCCTTGGTGAAAAGGGGGACTTACCACTTTGCCTAAAATGGGACTTGATGGAGTACAACATATGTTTGGACCATTTGAAACAATCAAAAAGAAATGAAATAAAACAACATATTGTGACTTCTCTGTTGATCCTGAAAATCTTTTAGAGAATACGAGAAGATTTGACCCCCTGGACAAGCTGTTATCTGTTGTGAATGGAGACCCTCTGTACCTGTCTTTTGGATGGGACAAACATTTGCTCTTCAAAGACTGCTATCTTCACACACAGAATCAGAAATTACACATCATTTTCTTTTGTCAAGAAACTTTCTACAAAGAGGCACCAAGCCCTGAAGTCAGGGAAGCCACACAAAAATGCTAGATAATTGTGGCCGAGTGGACTGYGAAAATAAAAACCCTGTGCATCTGATCAGGTTTTTTTCAAGACAGGTTGAGCATAGCCTGAAATGCTCTTTTGTGGTGGAGCTCTGGATTTGCATTTCCAGTGATGACACACTGCTATTTTACAGTAAAGCAAATAGAACCCAAATGATATCAGGCAGTCTTCTAAGAAAATGTCCTTAAAATTTGTGCATTAGCAAATGAAATGAAATGAAATGAAATGAAAAGCTGATCTAGGAAATCATTCAGAGAGTTAGAAAGAGGTTAGGAACACACATCTGATACTGAATCCAGAGACCTTACATTTCCACCATGATTTTGTTTGGGCTGTCTTTATGTGGAGTTAAGAAACCCCATTTCCTTGGGAGCAAAAGGRGCTTGGCCTTTCTGTGTGCCCAACCACTGCATGTACTTTGCCACTACCAGCACGCACTGTTGCAATAGAGGATCAGGGTTGCTGACTTATGAAGCCTTCTCACATGCAAACTATTCTTGAGCAGATGTATTAAAAATACAGCATACGTTATGGACAGTGTATGACAAGGGTGAATACTATAGGGATGACATCTGTTCACCGGAAACATGGCTTCCTTTTTAAGGTTAAACTCTGCAGACCTGCAGACAGTTGACCTTACTATTTTGCAGTGGTTAGAATGGAAGGCAGATGAACCACATATTGGATGTCATAAAATGTGGGGTTAAAATATGGGCAAGGGAAACCATTTTAAGTCTGGTGYTACTCTTTATCTTAGTTAAAAAATATAGGCAAAGAAAAATATGAAATAAGGCTGTTGAAATATAAATTTGTAATGTAGCTTGTTCAATATATCCTGTGAGGAGACTGTTCAAATTTATACATAGGTCAAAAAGAACTGAATTTKTCTGCAAAATTCACCTTAAGGTTCATGCAGTGCTTCTTCTCTTAACCTGCATGCATCATTCTAGTATCTCACAGACCTGAAAGCTGGGTTAATTTACCCAGTGTGAAGTTTCAACATCATCATAGAGAGTCTGGAAAACATAAACCTTGCAGCTCAAGTCATTGCAAGAAACACRTTTCAAGAAAAAAGGTGGAATGTATTATTTGGCATAGTGGGTAAGTCCCTGTTTCATAACTTCTATTAAAATGCAATGGGAATTGGGATCCTTATT